TGTCAGGGTCTGGTTTGAAGGCCAGTCACGTCCCCTGTTGGGCCAGACCCAGAGTTTTACCACGCTGGTAAAACTCAGCAACCTAGGACTGACTGCTGCTGGGTGCTCCTGGTGCTCTGAGGGTGGGTTCTTCCCTCAGGCCTCTCAGAAAATGGCTCGGGGAGGGCGCAGCCCTTGGCAAGGCAACCCAGGACTCAGTACTTCCACGCTCCACTCCGAGGGCGGGTTCCTGCCTGAAACCTTGCCCTCTGGGAAACAGCTGGGGGAGAGCACAGCTGTTTCCAAGAGGACCCCTGCAGGACTGACTTCCTTCTGGTTGGTTGAGCTTCAGGATGTGATGTTACACCCAGGGTTTTTATATAAGTAGATTGTTTATGGCTGCTTTCATGCTAAAATGCCAGTTGAGTAGTTGTGACAGAGACCAGATAGCCTGCAATACCTAAAATATTTACTGTTTGGCTCTTTACAGAAAAAGTTTGCTGACTATTGCTTTATACAATAGGTATTTACATTAAAAATTTTTGTTTTTATTAAAATAATACATGCACATGTGTGAATATCCAATAGTACTAAAGCTTTATTTTGTAAAAGGAGATTCCTACTGTACTCTTCTCCTTCCCATTACCACTCCTTAGACATGTTACTTTCTTTTAACTATCTTCTGGCTCTTATAGTTACAGTCTAAATAATAGCCTTATTCCATTATTTCTTGATGTGTCAATTTTAGATCCTAATTATTAAGTAACCTAGGTTAGCCCACTACCCTACTTTTTATTTTATTTATTTATTTTTTTAAATTAAATCTTTATTGTTCAGATTATTACATTTGTTCCTCTTTTTTCCCACCATAACTCCCCTCCTCCCAGTTCCCATCCCACCCTCCGCCCTCACTCCCCACCCACTGTCCTCATCCATAGGTGCACGATTTTTGTGCAGTCTCTTCCCGCATCTCCGACACCCCTTTCCCCCCCAAGAATAGTCAGTCCATTCCCGTTCTATGTCCCTGATTCTATTATGATCACCAGATTATTTATTCACTTCATTCTTAGATTCACTTGTTGATAGATGCATGTTTGTTGTTCATAATTTGTATCTTTACCTTTTTCTTCTTCTTCCTCTTCTTAAAAGATTGCTAG